AACAGCATCAAAATCTGGTATTTTTCATTGCATTCGAATCGTATGGTATTTACTGAGCTATATATATATAAATAGTATTTGCTGAAAGTAAACCATTTGGATATTTAGCTAAATAGACTTAATCAAATGTTTTGACCTCTTTTTCATAACATAATCGTATTATCAGGAGGATCTTGCTTAATGAACCTTGTTCGGAGTTCTCTGCCATTGTAGTACTGATACTTTCTAGCTTATGACTGTAGACTTGATGCATATCGATGTTGAGAATTATCATGACTACTTTAGCAGAGTACTCCTGACAAATTAGTTAATCAAGATCTCCCTGAAAGCAAGATTAGTTTGCTTAAACAACACCACATTACCTTTGCGGCGAAACGATGCTGCAGCCACACCAGTTTTATCGTCATACCTTCGACATAACTTTAGAAAAGTTATTCTCTAAACTTGATTGAAAATACCATCAGATTAATAAGGATTACATTTTTAAATGTGCAAGAGAAGTGGTAGGATAGTGGTAAATATAAATGGTTTTCAGCGAAACTACGACATTTTCTTCGTGTGTTACACTTTTAGTTATACAGTTTACCCATTACCTAGATCAGGCGGGTATAAAATAATTTATTTATGCGGTCGCCTCTATATTTGAGAGATTTCTTATCCAATTCTACTGAGGTTGACTGCACATGAAAGTTCTTATTGTGGCTGTTGGGTTCATCGATTTTAAACAGAACGCATAACAGAAACTGGACATGCAAACAAATGTTCTTAAATTTAATGTCGTGCAGGCCTGCTAATCACATACTTTGGGTATCCACCTAAATCTACAGCTTAGGCGATGCCCTCGAATTTCAGGAACGAGTAAAGACTAATTATGCTTAATCGATAGCCTCTAGCATGACACATGACATGAAATAACCAAATCACCAAAAAATGCATAGGTTTCTAGAACTTATAGAACGTAGGAATAAGTCGATGAGTTTTCCTTACTCGTTAGCTTGAATTGGTTGTGGGAATGATACCCTGCTCTGTTGATCTCCGTCATATGGCATACGAAAGCTCTATATGCTTCCATTAGACATTGAGGGCGATTGTCTCAGGAACCGCTTCGAATGAAATGTTTCAGTGAAACTAAAAGACAACTGACCCATGATAACCAACCACCGTCTTCCAGTTAATTCGATCTTCGAACCACACATTTTAACTATAAATGCTAGTGAATGGAACATCTTGTGTCTATTTGATGAGATGGACTCATTTCAGCGTAAAACTCTATCACTGCCTAGTTTATAAA